GTTATATTTTGAGTTCGTGTTAAATAAGAAACAAACCTCCAAATAGGAGTATAAACTGGAAAAAGAGAGGAAAATTTATCATGCAAGCACCAGTTGTTATTCTCACGAAAATAATTCCTGACTCTGGTGGTAGAATTCTATCTGAGAAATTTTCCAATTAACGGTTAAACCTTATTTTCACGTATTCTAGAATATGAACATATTTCCAAATTTTCCAGCTGAGTTGTTGGTCACCTTGTATTTAAATTATGAGGTGTCATACGTCTTATGAACTGTTTATCATACTGCTCCAAATCCGACATGTCAGATATGTCCCCTTAGGCCAGACTATGATGAGATTTGAAACTTGAAATACAATAAATATAAGTTTGTCCCCTCATGGCACTTATTCCGACAGGCACATAATTTTCCTATGTTTTTGCTACTTCAAAAAATAATATATGGATCACTAGCCTTGACAATGAGCGCCGAAGACGCGACCATATTAACGCAAATGAAACTCGCTAGTATATACCTAGGTATATATACCGCAATTAAATTAACATCTCCGAAGAGCGAGATTCAGCAATCTCCACAGTCCTGGGCAGCTGGAGCTTCAAATTTGCTGGGGCGATTCTGTGTTTGGGACAGAAATATTTATGCCAAATTTTGTTCTTGTTGATTCCCTCCGAGAGGAAGACAAGACGGTTGAATTTTGTCGCCGGAAGGGGTTGAAGTAAGGTAAGAGGCGCTACCAAACCCATTGATCATGTGCAGGGTCCAATGTCTCTCACCTCGAGAATTTGTTGCTACATATTTCTTTGAAAAGTACTTGGTATATACTTCATGTCGACATCAAATGCGAGATTAGCACTTAATTGTTTTATGGGATATAATCATTTGACGACAACAGCGCACAGGTAGCTCCACCTGAGAAATTTGCGAATGTAGTCCGATGTTATCCCGACATATAAGATAAATTATTGCTGATTTTTTAATTGTTTAGGCGTTTTATTATTTTATTAGTGTAAAGAAATTGCCATGAATATGTGTCCTTAAATCGATTCCTTTACGTTCATGCCGTTTTTCATCAACATCTCAGAAGGTGCAGCTCACGCTTTGCGGGATTTGGTGGATATATCTACTCGCGTGCCAATTTTCGCATTGGTCTTCCCAAAAATTTTTTTTGGTATCGTCAGATAAGGAAAGTGCGACATATGGACACAGACGGACTGCGCGGTACCATAAGTGGTCTTTTCTTTTCAGAAAAGGAGGCTCAGAAAAGGAGGAGAGAAGAACTTCGGACAACTAGATGAGTTCTCTACCGTAAAAAAATTATGACTAGGGTATCGGAAACAGGGCTTCCGTGTAATGCTAGGAGTAGGGAATTCCGATTCATAGCGTAAACAAGTATCTTATTTCTTAACGTAAACATACTGTTCTGAAAAAAAAAACCTCGGAATCCATCCCAACGACGAAAGCGAGGAATAGAGATTTCCTCTGATTTTCCGAAAAATACCAATCCATAGTCGAAATCGAGTTTCCGTTCATGGAAGTAAACTGCCGTCTCATTCGAGTTTTCCTTAATTGCATTAATTATTCAAAAATGACTCCTTTCTATTCGAAGTACTGCATGATGAATGAAATTTAGTTATCAATGTGCGATCCTCATTTATTAACCCGTTAGTATTCCGTGCATCCCTAACGAGAAGAATATTAAGTTCTATTCACTAACGCGATTATTCAGTACCTCCTTTTAACCACCTACAGAAAAGATCGCGACCCATTCTCGTCTCTCTCTCTTCTCAAGGAGAGAGTATGAAAGACTATCGAGTCCTAAGTATTTATGATTTGATTGTCCAGGAGGTTCGTGCTGCCGGAAGTCAGGAAATGTAGATGATGTCAGTGAAGCAGGTCGTCCATTGTTTCAGAGCAGTTCCTCCCCCCAACGGAATAAAGAACCTGTGATGTTCTTAATTGCCCCGTATCCGATTGGGAAATACACATAAATATATATTTATTCTTGAGAATGAAAACCGTTCATTTTTCGAACCATCACAGTGTCATATTTAAGGGGACATCAGAGGAGAGTGGGAGTCATGTATCATTCGGAATGGGAACTTAAGGTATCAGATGGCTTCCTCAAGATGCCATGACCGAAAGGTCCGGATTAGAACCCCTGCAGATGAATTGTTTTCAACCACAACAATGGGCGCCATTTCCGCTCCATGGTGCACAGCCCTCCATTCTCCTCTACTCATTTCTTCCTCAAATCGCTCCAATTCCCTCATGTCTAGCGCGATCGTAGAGAATAGATTTCATCTTCACATGGCGAAATAAACAAACGAATGCTAGAGATTGCAATTTAATAAAGCCAGAGGCCAATTTCAAGGCAACTGAATCCCACCAAGTTGGTTCATTCTGGGTCTCCAATGAATGTCTGAAGACTATATAGACGCTTTTATTCTTCGTTTATTTGTATCATGATTCAATTCCAAAGATTTTCAGTCTCAACCTTAAATAACAGTTCCAACTTACCAATTTCATCTTCTACAGGCACGCATCAAATCTCTGTTTCCTAGAAAATCGATTTTACATCCTATTTTACCTCTTGCAACAATGAGTCTGAGTCGAAAATGATACAAGCATCTATTTGAAATAATGGATGAAGATGATCTGCCCTTTGCCGTAATGTGTTGAATAATCCTTGACTATACTGCGACTTGCCTGATGACGTAAACAGAAAACGTATTTTTTAGCCAACTAACTTACGTATTTCTAAATGTGCATTCGTTGGTATGGTCAGAACTACATGCATTCCCTCCTGACGTGAGATTTATTTTCGTGATCTCATTTAACCCCATCTTTTGCACCAATTGAAAAAAGTATAATTAATCAGTATTATGAAATATCCAACTGGTTCATTGACTGAATTAGGTGTGTGAAACTGATGGAAGCGATACAAGTTTCAAGGCCCATCTTCAAGCTACAATGGTGATTAAAAGAAGTCAGATATAGTCTAATTTAAAAACATTGGGATATTTTTATTTAGAGCCAATGCACAATACCTAGTATGTCAATCAGACAAGGAACTTCAAGCAAGGAGTGGCTTCGGATCCAAGTACGTAGTTGAATTTTCGAGTTTTTTACGGAAGCCTAAGAGTGAATAAGATGTGAAGACTACAGAAAGAGTTACGGTACAAATTATCACACTTATCTAGTAATATTTGGGTATTGGAGTATGTGCGATCAGTCCTCTTGTGCCCGGGCTTAGCATATATAAAATCCGAAATACACAAGTGGAAAGAACATAAAATCTTTGTCCCGATGCTACTCGTTCTTTACCATGATACAAAAAATGAAACTGTATTATGGAGTTCTGATCATACAAGGAAAGTTAAATGAGGTGCACCCAATTAGAAATAGAGTTGAATGAGGGTCCTAGGTAGCCTCTAGCCTAGGTAAAAAGTCCTGGAACACTAGAAAATGTTCTCAATGGTAGGAGTTCTGATCATACAAGGAAAGTTAAATGAGGTGCACCCAATTAGAAATAGAGTTGAATGAGGGTCCTAGGTAGCCTCTAGCCTAGGTAAAAAGTCCTGGAACACTAGAAAATGTTCTCAATGGTTCGTCCGGATCGCGCGAGATGGGAAGAGAGTATGAATTGGAGGATGCCATATGCGGCATTTCATGCGTAAGCCCATCAACAGTGTATTCGCGGTCAATGGCAGGTACGCTATCCGGTCTCCATAATTTTGATATTGCAAGTTTCTGCAGCAACTCCATAGGGAAGGATTTGATTCACCGTTTATCTTCTTTCAGGGAGTTCGTTCTAATCGGCGGGAATATGGCGGAGGAATTCCCGGGAGGATATTTTGGGGGTGTCTCTTTCGAGAGAATCGCTATTATGAATTACGAAGTGGATACCATACATCTCTCCGCCCTAATTTCATCGCAAGACACACTGGAGGAGCTGGAAATCATGTTTAGCCATCTGAAGGAGTTTCCTTGGGATACCCTGCCTCTATTAACCAAACTCACGTCCCTCAAACTATATGGAAACGAATTGAAAAATATACGCATCCGAAGCGACAGTCTTCGGGAGCTAGATATTTCAAGTAATCAAATTGCAGCACTGAAATCTGGATGGTCTGCACCAAACTTGACCTCTCTCCGAATGGGTGAGCACAATCGAATGCGATGACGTAAATGAAAGCATGACAAAATGTGGAATCAACATACTAATTGTCTACCCCGTTCTATGTTAATGCGTCAGAGCACAAGTTACATTTGACATGCAAAAAACATTGCATGTGCGATCTGGTGAATATTTGCCCATTGTTACTTTGTTCAAATGGAATTGTATCACCCTGAAATCTTACTTTCTCAAAGTATACCAATCTCCATATTGCTTCTTTGGAAGCCTAGTGCACATATTCTTTTTCATCCTTGCGTCGGGATAAATCGAAATTTTTTTTCATTTGCAATGTTTTTCCTCGCCTCAGTCGTAAACACTTGTATGATGTAGTATGATTATGAATTTCGCATGTCTCATGATGCATAGATTGCAAGACATTTTTTTTTAATTCTAGCCCCTTATTTTATTAGGAAGGAAATACGAGGGGTGTTCAATGCATACCAAGACTTTTGTTTATAGAAAACAGAGTAACGTATGCAGAATAATAATTTTGCGAAAATTTTGTCTTCAGTGCTGTTAACCCATACCCAAAATCGGGTGTTTCCTGCTTTAATGTATTTACTGAAATCAAGATGGTGGTAAATGAGATAATAAAGAAAGTGGGACAGCGTATTCGATGGTGGTTACAATTTCACCAGGACTTTTGCATTTCAACAACGAAGAAACGTATATTGATTTTTTTAATTTAAAAAGGATTTACCTTCATAGTTTTGGAAACCCTTTTAAAGATTACATGCTTCATGCTTTAATAAATGTGCTGAACATCCTGATGACGGATGTTGAGGGAAGAAAGAAGGTGGAATAGTGCATCGACAAAAAATTCTGGCCTACGAGAACATCAAATTTTTTCACTTTTACAAATGCCTCAGTGTAATGACGAATGCCCTTAAGAAGAAACTCTTTCGTCGCTCAAAATGAGATCCTCAAATCACTTAATGTTCACGTTATTGAAATAAGTTGGTGGTCTTGCAGCGTAAGCTTAATTCTGCACGTATTCACACCCACATTTAAATGATTTCAACCATACCAATATGGATGATACAAATACGACAGGCAGTCACCACCATACAGTGACGNATTTGCATCTGGTGCAGATATGAATCCAATCTCTGAGATTCCCCACGGGTTCTTGGATGGCTTGGGGAACTTGCAGGAATTCCATTGTTTTGAATGTCACCTGGGGCCGACTCTGTTCAAGGGTTCTATGGGATTCCACAGTGAAATCGTGACATACATTGAACTTGGCCGTAACGACATCTCAAACATCGAAGAAGGCGCTATTACAGGTAAATTACAATCAAATTTCGATTTGGGAGTATTTTAAAATCCATTCCCATATTTCAATCATAGATGAAGTAATTTTCCAGAAAATAATTCACATGAAGTTATTTGACACGTTCCCTCTATGTCTGTCCTAGGTGTCACACCTGACACGTTTGTTGGTCTTGATCTGAACAAAATCACAGACTTGACGGAAGCTACCTTCCGCCCGATCCTGGAGGTTCTTCGACGTGGATTTGGATCGCTTTCAGTTACGGGTTGGTTTTATGATCTTGTCATCTGTGATCCTTTCAGTTATTTCCTTTTTCCACTGTGAAAAATAATCATTTTTCGTCTTCTGTCCACTATAGGTAACCCCATCATATGCGGATGTAGAATTGATTGGCTCGTGCGTAATCCATTTTTACAGACAAGTATTTTCGGCTCCTGCCAGGATGGCAGTTTCTTTCGAGCCTTGGATCCCCATATTTTCGAACAGTTCTGCATCGAAAGACATCCCCCATGCCAGGCGATTTCTTCACCTTGACCACTCAAAATTTTCATGAATAATAAAACGACTTTGATTGTGTTCTAATAACCTGGCGTTTGTTTCATTGAAAAGATCAGGGAAGCTGAATACATTTGGGTGAAACAGGAATACATAAAAAATCATCTTCGTCAGCTCCATTTTGGACTTTTCTC